AGGAGGTGACTGGATCCTGCACAGGTCGAGTGGGTGCCTGCACCTGGCCCCTGAGATGGAGAAGCAGAAAGAGACAGGGGAGCAGAGAAACAGAGGACAGACAGCCTCTGGTGTCCTCCACAAACGCCCACCACAGCCAGGGCCGTCAACTCCAGAGATGTTACAGGGCTAGACAGCTAAGCTCCTAGGAACGAGCACTCTGAGAGCAGATGGGGGTGTCCGAAGAGGCAGCCTGAGTCACTGCGGCCCAACACCTGCCTGACACCTGCTTCTAGTGTCACAACGGCTCCTGGGAGCTGAGACCAGGGCTGACAGTGACTCGCTCCTGTGGCCAGTGCACATACCTGACCACCCTGTGTGGGCACCAGTGGCCCTCAGAATGGACTAAATGGTTGCCACTTCTCCCTGCATCCCTCAGGGACAGTCCTCTCATGAACAGCTCTCGCTGTTCATCCCTAGGCGACTCGTACTTAAGAACAGACGCACACACCCACGAGCCAGGAGAGTATCGCATTTACACCACTGTGGCTATGCATGCTTTCACTGGTCTGCACTAGGATACTAAAACTCGGGGCTGGCTGCTGCTGCTGCCTCTCCTAAAACTCAACCCTTGCCACAACCCTCCCAGGAGCCACAGGCAGGCAGATCAGGACCTTGGCCCTCAGGGGCTTACTTCACCCAGGTATGCAGGCGGGGCCTGGGCTCCTCCGGAAGACAAAGAAAGAAAAGGTGTGGCAAAGGCCACAGAGTCCAGGATGACAGACGGTGTGTGCAGGCCAGAGAAAGGCCCCTTGCTAAGCGCAGGAAGAGAGCAGGTGAGAGAGAAGGCCAGGCCGGGGGAGGGGAGGCTGGGAGGAGGCAGCGAAAGGGGCGACAGAAGGAAAACCTCCCAGGGCAAAGCAGGGAGGAGCCGCTTCCAGGAAAGCTTCACACCTCCCTGTCCACACAGGAGGGACCAAGAGTCTGGTCATCCTCTTAAAAAATAAATAGCTGAGTTTGTCCTTATTACCAGATGTGAATAATTTATGGCTCCAGAGAGAGGTCATATTGACTGAACTATGACTAAGTTCCTTGTGAAGTGGACAGACAGAGGGAGAGGCGGGCACCCCCTCATGCCAGCCTCTCAACTCAGCATGAAGAACAAAAATTAAACCAGAGCTCACCAAAATTACTGAATCAATTAAGAATAATGCGCGTCTTTGCAAAGGAGGGTGGTAGGAAGGAAAGAGAAAGAGGGAGGGAGAGAAGCATCTTCCATCTGCTGGTTCATTCCCTCAGCAGCCAGGGCTGGGGGTGGCAGGGGTGCCCAGCTGCTGCCTCCCAGGGACTGTGTTAGCAGGAAGCTGTATCAGAGGCACAGCTGGGATGTGGCCGTCACAACAGGTCAAACGCCTGGCCGTAGTCAATTTTACATGTGACTTAAAAAATACTAAGTGGTCATTAAGATGAAAAAGTCATCTCTCATCACTCCAACAGATGCTAGGTGCCAGAGCCAGTCACCTCTCTTCGGGGCTTACGTCATGCAACAGGCTGTGTTCTCAGCAGCCCGGCCCTGTCTGAGTCGCTTGGGCAGCTGACAGAAGACTCTAATAGCTGGAATCCAAGTCCCGCAGTTTCAGCAGCTGGGAGGTGAGAAGCTGGGGGATCGGCAGGATATCTCGCCAGCTCAGAAGTTGTACCAGGGTTCTCTCCCTTGCTGCGTCCTCCCATGACTGGGGAGGGAAGTAGTAAGCCTGCCAGTGCCCCTCCTCACAAGGGCACAAATCCCACTGTGGAGCCCCACGCTTACCGAATGCCGTTGCACGTGCAGAACCAGGTGGCACACCCACACTCAGTGACAGAATCAGAGTCCAGGACCAAGCACTCCTTGGATGGACTTCCTGACCACTGTCCTTGCCTCATCAGCCTGTTCACTCCTCTCCTCTCCTGTGGCCTGCAGGATCTCACACTCTTACTCCACTGAGCCATTTCAAGATGAGGAAAGAAAACGACCAAGCATAGCAAGCTGGCTGCAGGCTAGGTCCTAACTGCATCTGGCCTCTATGCTGACTCTCAGGCCAAGTGGTTTGCACTAGATAACAGCTTTACAATCAGACACAAAACTCTATGCACACCTACGAGGCTGCAACTCATAAGGGTGCAACCTACACATGACGCCTTACTAAATGAGTGGGGGCAAGCACAGATCTGGGGCTCCCAGCGGAACCACCCGCCTTCCCAGCCCAGGCTCAGTGCTATGGGCATTGGCTGCTGGATTCCACCTGTTCCTAGAGCTCAGAGTTTGGGCCGCTCCCCTGTGGTCATCCTAGCTGCTGTACTCACATGTTTAAGCTGGGCTGGGTACAAACTGCCGTGACAACACAGTGAGGACTCAAAATAGGTTATCAGGGGTGGTCTGGGCTCTGGGCTTATCACCACCATCCCTGGGAACAACTGTCAAGTGGAGATAGCCACCCCACCAGGTGGACGTCCTCACATCCTCTTCATGCCACTGGAACATCGTTCTGTCTCTCAGCTGCTAGCTTTGCTTCATGTGGCCTTCCTGGGACAGCAAGGAAACGTTCATAGGGACCTCCTCCTCTGGAAGGAGCCTTCGTCACTCTTGTTCTTCAATACAAGAAGGGCAGGGTTGGGGTGAGATGGGCAGGAACAGAGTAACCAACCAAGGCCGTTTGCCCAGGACAGTTACAGTTCTAGTGCTACAAAACCCCACAGCACTGTGGAAAACTTTACTATCTCAAGAAGGAAGAGGGTGGTGGGTACCTTGCTCATAAGCCCAAGAAATTGAAGAGGGAATTTTAAAGAGAAAAGAGAGGTACAAGGCAACATGCATTCCTGCTTCCAAACAAAAGATGGACTCCCAACGAAACTGTTGGAAATGTGTAGACAATGGGATGCTGGACCGTCTGACACTGTCTGTACCAGCAATGTCAGGGAACACTTAAATAAGGGACTTACGGAATTATGACTCTTTGTGAAGGACTATACAATTGTAGCAATGTGGGGAAGGCCTGTTGGGGGGTGAGAATTTGGGGGGAATCCCAAATAAAATAAAATTAAAAAAAAAAAAAGAGAAAGAGAAAAAAGAGTTCTTTGTTGTTTCAGTGGGGTGGGTCATTTCTTTTCTTTTCTCCTTCCTTCCTTTTGTCATAAGCATGTCTTAAAACCTAGCAAGAAAAATGGCCTAGCTGGACAGGTTTTGGCTTCCTTTTCCTCCTCCGTGGAACTTGTTGCTATAACATAGAATTAGACCACTATGGGCTACCCCCATCCCAATTTAAGATGTTACTTCTGGCAGCAGCATCCCCCATGAGCACTGGTTCTAGTCTCAGCTGCTTTACTTCCCATCAGCTCCTTGCTAACGCGCCTGGGAACGCTGTGGAAGATGGACTAAGGCCTGGGGCCTCTGCACTCATGTGGGAGATATAGGTGGAGCTTAAGGTTCCCGGCTTCAGCTTGACTCAATTCTGGCACTCACAGGCATTTGGGGAGTGAACTAATGTATGGAAGGTCTCTTCCCCATTCATCTTATTGTCTTTCCAATAATATATACATATATCTTGAAAAAGTTTTTACCATCAGCAAACCACCTTGTACAACTACAAGCCTCCTCTCTGTTAGGCAGGAATGGAACACTGCCCGACGTTAGTCCACAGGGTTAAAGCAGCAGTTGGAAGAAGTAACCACTCTCAAAGGCAGCTACCAGTGCGTGCATCATGTCGCAGTAAGCTGCATGCAGAGAATCTGACTTGTTCCCTCTGATGGGAGTGACAGGCTAGAGGTGGATTGAGGAGTCTGAGGTGCCACAGAGAATCAGCCAAGTAAGTCGCGCCTGCTTTTCTTGATAGCCTGACTTCAAAGAAATATGCAGGATGCCAGGTCAGAAGATGGAAAGGGCAGTTTATCTCACAGAAATATCTCAGTAGTAAACACAACACACATCATTGTTTGCAAAACGCAGCTTTCAAAACCACTTGTTGTAGTCCCCAAGCCCATGGTCGGGTGGTTCTTTTGGGGTGGGGGCAAAGGGAATCTTGGGCTTCCTGCTGCAGGTGTAGCAGCCTCTGTGTTCATTCACATGCTTGCAGAAGCTGGAATGGCAAAAGCAGCCAGCTGTCAGCACAATGACACCTTTCCAAGGCTGACTGGGGGAGGGGGAACCATCGTTACACATTTTCTGAAATAGAAGTGCCTGCTGGCAAACAAAAAGTTTTGTTCAAAAAGGGAACCTAAGTCACTAACAAAGTCTAACAAGTGATAAAAATTATCCTCAAATTGGATGCAATCATTGGTTAAAAAATATTCCCAACAGTGAAAAATCAACCTCATTACCCCCAATGAAACACACACACACACACACACACACACGATGTGTTTAGCACATAAATAGAAGCTCTGGCTCTGGCGTGTCAGTGTTGTTGCTTACATGTTGCTCCTACTGACAGATTAGTGGAGTATCAACCAACAAAATCAGCATGTTTCTCTAGAACCAAGAGCCAGCTTAGCTCTTCAAAGGGTTCATTTACTGCATGGATTTGAGAGGGAAAGGAGAAAGAGATGTGTCCAACAGCCAGCGACAGGAGGAGCTGGGAACTCACTCCAGGCCTCCCCATATGGATGACATGAACGGACTGATCTGAGCCATCACTGTTGCCTCCCAGGATTTGTATCAGCAGAAGCTGCAGTCAGGAATCAAAGCCAGGTACTTGGAAGGGTGACACGGGCTTACTAACCAACCAGTATCTAAACTCCTAGACTAATGCCTGCCTCTGCACTGGCATTTTTAATGATGGGTGGGTACTTACTTTATTTCTTAAAAATCTATTGAGTTTTTGGAGTTACAGAGAGAAGAGAGAGAGAGAGAATGTCTTTCATCTAACGATTCACGCTCTGAATGACCAGGTTGCAGCCAGGAGCCTGGAACTCATCTATCCAGGTCCCTCATGTGGTAGGAGAGGCCCAAGCACCTGAGCCTTCCTCTGCTGCTTTTCTATGCACATCAGCCAGGAGCTGGATGGGAAGGGGAGCAGCTTGGCACAAATTACAGGATGCCTACACTGCAGGTGGTATCAGCCTCAGGGCCAACCCCACCTCAGGGCTAGTAAGTATTTTTAAAAATAATGAATATTTTGCTGATTGTAAAATGCCTAGGCATTGAAGAAACTCTGGGAAAAGAAGAAAAGTAAGAGGGAAAAAAAAAATCTTTGTGATTTTCATTTACAAGCAGATAAGCCTGTATCTCTCCAGATCCTCCCTTTCTGAAACAAGCTTCTATGGTACTGTATGCCAGGGCAGCCCTGGTCCGGGCATAACACAGAGATGAGAGAGCGAGCCGGGCTCAAGTTCACTCCAGCCTTCTGAAGCAAAGGACCAAGGACGTGTTTGAAAACATGATCTGCAGCAACATTTTCACCTGCATCTCACAGCAGAGATTAGGCACAGTTTTTTTTTTTTCTTTTTCCTGTCTGAGTGGTAGGGACTGCTGCGTGGCGAGCCGTTCCTATCCAGCACGTTCTGGGTGGAATCTAATCATGTGTGATAACCCAACAATTCAGTCCCGGAAACAATGCCCACAACATTCCTCAGGAATTTCACAGATTATCTACACAGAACAGACTCACTCGAACAAGAATTTTCTTTTCCCCAGTAAAATTTGAAGAACGTAACTTCTCATGTTGCACACACTGGGTGTGCGAAAGATGCAAATTCAGATATGTGTGCTTCCACAGACCTTATTTCTGCAAACAAAGGAAAAGCTGGTGTTTGACAACTGGGGCTGACTCATCAGAGGAAGCCCAGGCCATAAGGATGTGCTTGCTGGTTCTCCCTGTGGGTCAGTGAGGGTTTCAGTTTAGGAAATGGAAGTATCGACGTGGACAAACAGTATTTATAGCCTAACATGCAGTTTCCTTTAATTGCCTCTGAACAAGGCATATGTGAACGGAAAGGAAGATCTCAGAGTCATCCTCTCTTGTCTGAACTATGTTCTAGAACCCAGCTAGCCTTTGCCCACATTCAGTATGAGCCATCAAGGCAGTTCTACTACAATAGGGTGTGCTCGTGGTTTTCAAATTCACTCTAAGAGTCCTCTGATTCAACAAAGACATCTTTTAATTTCATAGTGTCTTCATTTCCTGATAAGCAAATGCCCACGGTGGCCAGACTGGCCTGAAGCCAGAAGCTGGGAACTTAACTCAGGACTCCCACGGGGTGGCAGAAACACAATCACTTGAGCTGCAATTGAAGATGGGCACTGAACCAGGCACTCCATTGTGGGATGTGGGCACCCAGACTGCCCACCTAGTGACCTTGGAAGGCTGCGGCGGCCTGGGTCCATTTGGGTGTGACTATTTCCTCTACTTTCTTCCTTCCTTTGTGGTTCCATTCCACATACTCGGCTTTGAAGCCGTGCCGTCTGCACTGCAGTACAGGATGACAATAATAGGATTGCTGTTTTCCCCAACTAGTGGGCCTGTGACCCTGCCTCATTTGTTGGAGAGGTCATTCTGTCTTCCCAGGTTTGTGACTTGAGATGCCATTACATCAGTTCCTGAATCTAGGTCTCTCTTCTGGTTCTCCATTACTGCCACTTCCGCCTGGCACCACGGGCAATGAAGGTTGCAAACTACATTTTTTGCTTGGCACAAGTTTCCCTTCATAGCTTTTGTTTTTCTTTTTAGATACAATAAAATTCTTGTTTATTTTCATCAGTTTAACTGTTTCTATGAGTGCATTTTTAGAAAAATCCCACTGGGTTTTTGGATTGGAGTTGCCTAAAGCCATGGCATTCGTTTAGAATGATTTTATATCTTTATATCCTTTATTCATGTGTCTCTGAGGAAGTGGAATCTCCTGCCATTCGTCATTCTTAATTTTCATGGCTCTCAATCAAGTTCACCCTTTGGATTTCCACCCTGGAGTTGCTAGCACCTCGGGGTAAGCTGCCAGCCTGCATCTGATACCTCTCCTGAAGCACGCATTATTTTAATCTGAAAAGTGGAAGCCAAAGGGAAGGGGGTGCAAGGCGCAGGCGGGGAAGCCTGTCTCACATTCACAATGAGATGATCCTGACCCTGGAAGGGGGCTCTTGGGGCTGTGCAGCAAGTAAGCAAAAGCACCCAGGGTCAATCAAAGAAAGGGGAACAGTGGATGAGGAAGCACTCAGGACGATGACTCACTGTATTGGATCATCTTTGGGAAACCACCTACTAAGCAGAATTTAGCAGCCAAGGCAGTATTTTTGGTGCATGATTTATTGTTGCTTCCGCTTGGGAGCAACATGATGAATCCTAGCTCCCTAAATGGCGTGTGCATGGTCATCCTGGCACCCCAGTCTTTCAGGTAGCAGTATCTTTCCTAGACCAGGGCAAGGCTGTGCATCCCATTCAGACCTCCTCAGAGCAGGACTGAAGCTGTTAGCTGTGGGCAATGGAGAGGAGGATTAGCCAGGTGCAGGAGACCCAGCTCTCAACGCTGGCTCTGAAACTGATGAACAAGTTGCCAAGTGCAGGCAGGCCACTGAACTCTGCTCAGCTGCTCAAAACCTGGCACCCTGGCTTCTGCATCTCAGACGGAACGAATGTAGAAATCTCACACGGGGGCTCTGCAGCAGTCGCTGCTGCTGAGGAACATAAGCACCTGGAGTTACACAGGTGAGGCTGTCACACAAGAAGCTCTTGGCTTCTGGTTGGCTCAGCGCTGGCTGTTAGGGCTAATTGGAGGAGCGAACCAGCGGATGGAATTCTCTGTCTCTTCTCTCAGTAGCACATACAATGAACTCCCATATTCCCTAGTCCCACATCTTTGCTGAATGCTGCCTTACACAGCCCACTCCCAGTCCCAAGGCTTCCTTTCCTTGCTTTGTTACGACTCAGTGTGCAAGGAAAACTCAGTGTTGCTGTTGTTTTGGCTCTATCTGGGAATCAAGTCTCTCCATTTAATTTACCTGTGACACTCTGTTGGGCTGTTACCAACAACCTCTCAGGAAGATTTGCAGAGGACAGAGTCAGGGAAAGGACCAACTTGGCCGGGGAGGGACCGTGCTTCCTTTGCATGCATGGCAGGCAGCCGCTCAGCTGTGGCAATCTCCCCTTCGCTCTCACTGCCCTGGCATGGGAGCTCTTCCTTATACCTATGAGACGGAGGTCCTGAGAGACTGCATGGCTTGCTCGCATTTGCTACTTTGTCCTGCACTCATTTGATTTAGCACAGAATATATTCTGACTGTCAGACGCTGCTTGAGGCATCAGAAACGCAGCAGAAAATGAAATACACTCCCCCTCCCTGACTTCATAAACTGCTGTCAGAATGCACATTTCCTTGATTAGCAGTAAGATTATTTACCAGTGGTAACAGTTCTGTGAATTTCTACTTCTCCATTTCCAACATAGCTTAAAGAAGAGACACAATAAAAACTACATCCTGGGGTGCCAGGATGACCACACATGCCTTTTAGGGAGCTGGGATTCAGCATGTTGCCCCCAAGCAGAAGTTCTGGGGGAAGTGCTGCGACGCAGCGAGTACAGTCATGCCTGTGATGCTGGCATCCCACAGAGGTGCTGGTTTGTGTCCTGGCTGTTCCATTTCTGTTCCAGCTCCCTGTTAATGTGCCTGCGAAAGCAGACGATGGCCCAAGTGCGAGACCTGGAAGACCTGGCTCTTGCTTGGCCCAGTTCTGGCTGTTGTGGTCATTTGGAGAGCGAACCAGAGGATGAAAGATAGCCCTCTCTCTGTAAAATCTATCTTTCAAATAAGTGAATGCATAAATAAATCATCTTAAAAAGCTCTAGAGGCAATGCTTATTTTTCTAATCTTTACAAACAGTTCTGAAACAGGCTCTGCTATTCTCACCTTACTAGGGCTCAGGAGGGTTTGTATTAAGCACAACCCATCGGAGAGCACTTACACTTTATGCTATAAAGCAAGCATTAAGATCACATTTGGTATCTATACCCTGGGGTTATTTAAGAGATGGATGAATGTATAAGGATGGAGTTAAGGGTATATGATCATATTTATTTATGGTCCTCTACCTTACACATTCTCTAGAGAGGTATGGCTTTCTATCTGCCATACATACTTTTAAGATTTAAAAAAAAATCTTGTTTTAAAGGTAAAGCAACACAGAGAGAGGAAGTTCTTTTAGCCACTTAGTGCTTCACTCCCCACTGTCCAGAGATGGGCCAGGCTAAAGCCAGGAGATGGGAACGCCGTATGGGTCTCCTCCAAGGGCAGCGCTTGAGCCACCACCTGCTGCCTCCCGGGTACAAGGGGAACATCACAGCTAGGACTAGAACCAGGCACCCTGACACGGGATGTGGCTGACCCCAATTGGGACACTCAAGTTTCTGCACCAAATGCCAACTCCATTGTGGTATTTCTTATATACTAGAGACTGTCTCATTACAGGTTAGACCTCTATCAAAACTGAAGATTTTTTTTTTAAAGATTTATTTATTTTTATTGGAAAGGCAATTTACAGAGAGAGGAGGAGAGACTGAGAAAAAGAGCTTCTGTCTGATAATTCCTACCTCCCCCCTCAAGTGGCTGCAACGGCTGAAGCTGAGCCAATTCAAAGCCAGGAGCCAGGAGCTTCTTCCAGGTTTCCTACGCGGGTGCAGGGTCCCAAGGCTTTGGGTTGTCCTCTGCTGCTTTTCCAGGCCATAAGAAAGTAGAGCAGCTGGGACATGAACTGGAGCCCATATAAGATCCCAAGTGTGTAAAGTGAGGATTTAACCACTGAGCCATTGCGCTGGGCCCTAAAACTGACACTGTTTGTGGCTAAATTAGGCCTCTACCTGCAGCATCAGCATCCAGTATGGCCACCGGTTTGTGTCCTGGCTCTCCACCTCCTACCCAGCTTTCCTGTTGTGGGTTGGGAGAGCAGCAGAGGATGGTCCAAGGCCTTGGGATCCTGCACCTGCGTGGGAGACCTGGAAGATGCTCCAGGCTTCAGATTGGCGCAGCTCTGGCTGTTGTGGCCGCTTGTAGAGTAAATCAATGGATGGAAGATCTTCCTCTGTATATCTGACTTCCCAGTTAAAAACAAAAAAGCAGTGCAGAACCCTTGGCCTGTGCGAGAATGGATGGCCTGGTGGCGACGCTAAGAGGAGATGCTTCAGGCACTCTGTTCAGCTCCTGGATGCGACTGGGGATCCGTATCTCCTTTTCCTTTTCAGGAGCCACTGAACTCCCTGTTCAAAGGTTCTCCTTACAAGTTATTTAAAAGCATCTGGGAGTCTCAGTGGGGAGTGCAAAGTTCTTCAAAGAAACAAGGTGAACAGCAGACCAACTCGTAGCTGAGCAGGTCTCATGTGCAGCAGGCGTTTTTTGACAGCTGATGAAGGGAAGGAATGATGTTGAACATTGGTTCTGGAAAATTCAATAGTGGGGTCAGCTCTTTTTTGACAACTTGTTGACGAGACCCCCAGATTCCCTGGCTTAAGGTACCTGTTAGGAAACTGACAAAAATCGCCACAGTGAAGCACCAACCACTCACTTCCTCTGAGAGGCACCCCTCAGAGTGTGGCTTCTGTGCTCCTAGCCTTCTGGTACTCGCTGGAAAATTTGTCAGTGTCCAGGGCACCACCACACAGCCTCCGGCTGACCACGGCAGGCATTCTGCAGGCTCCCAGCACGGCCTACCATCCCTCTGTCCATTCTCCACCCTGGCCCCGCCTTTCTGAAATTTTTTTGTTGCTGTTGTCTCGTTGTTATGGGTAGTGACAGTTTCTGGTTTCTTTCGTTTATCAACGGTTTCCTTTACCACAGCCTCTCTGTCTCCCACTGGAAGCCTGGCACAATTGGAAGCTGGGAGAAAAACCACAACTGAAACAGCCTGACACTAGCTTCAACAGTCGTTTCCAACCACAGAGGAGCACTGTGACTGGATTTGACTAACGGCTCTCAGCCAGCCCAACCGTCACTGCTTGAGCACATGCTGGCCCACGAAAGGCAGAAGGGGGAGCACACACAAATCCAGGGTCCCATACACCTTTCCTGGCTGCTCAGCTTCCCAACAGCTTCTTCTGCTTTCTCCCTTACAATCTGTAGAACGCAGGGATGAGGGGATAACACACGACCCTGCTCTGGTGAGCTGGGGGTTTACGTTTACTGACCAGGGTTGCTATGGGCATCAGCTAGCATAAGAGCACGCTGCTCGGCTGCCTATGGAAGGTACATGCGTCCGGCATCTTTCCATGCCCACAATGGGAAGCACACTGGAGGCTGGTGCCCCTGGGTGCTGAGGATCCCTAAAGGAGTTGTGGGGGCGGGGAGTGGGCATTTGACACCTGGGTTTTGATGCTGCCTGGGCTGCCTACATCCCATACTGGAGTGCCTGCATTCAAGCTCGCTCTCTACTTTCCAGTCCAGCTTCCTGCTAAGATGTGTATCCCGGAGAGGGTGAGGACGGCTCAAGGACTGAGGTCTCAGCCATGCAGTGGGAGACGTGGATTGCACTCTGGACCCTATCTGACACCCAAGGGAAAGAGGCCCCTCTGGAGGCTTGAGGTTCGCAGGGTGGCTCCCCAAGACCAGGACAGACTTGGTCCTCTTTTACTTTGACCCAGCAGATGCCACACCTCACAGAGGTCATCAGATTTCGTCTTCCGTGGAAACAAGAGGCTAGAGTGGTCTGCAGTCTTGGATGACTCGGGACCCGGGGGTGGTTTCACAGAAACCCATCCTAAACTGCTTCCTAAACATGCATCGAATGACAGGCAATTAGCAGAAGCATCTGCTGGGATAACAAAGTAGAACCATCTTTCTAGGAGGCAACCAGGCTGCATGTGTGAAAGGCCTGAGGCTCTCGAACAATCTTCACCTCAGAGGTCACTGTGAGAATGCAGACAACCTTAGTTACAAGGAACCTTAGTCACAAGAGGGTGGCATTGTGCTGTAGCAAGTTAAGCCACTGACTGCTCCGCTTCCCATCCAGCTCCCTGCTAATGTGCCTGGAAAGCAGTGGAGGATCCTGATGGGAGTTCCTGGTTCCTGGCTTTGGCCTAGCCCAGTCCTGGTCAGTGTGGCCATCTGGGGAGTGAACAAGCACAGATGGAGGATGTTTTCCCTGTGTCTCTCTTTTTTCCCTCCATAACTGCCTTTCAAATAGAATAATTTTTTTTGAAGGGCGAGTTTTTCACAGGTTCCTCCCATGGAGGGCAGATACCCAATTAGCTGGGCCATGACCTGCTGCCTTCCAGGGTCTGCATTAGCAGTGGGTTGGAATTTGTAGGAACTGCGACTTGAACCTCAGAACTCTGATGTGGGATGCAGGCGTCTTAACCCCTAGCCCAAATGCCTCTCTCTCTCCCTCATTTAAAAACATTCTACAGGGACCAGCACCTGTTTGTGTCCTGGTTGATCTGCTTCGCATCCTGCTCTCTCTTTGTCGCCTGGGAAGGATGGCCCAAAGCCTTGAGAGCCTGCACCCACGTGGGAGAACCAGAGAGGCTGCTGGCTTCAGATTGGCTCTGCAGTGGCCATGGAGGCCATTTGTGGAGTGAATCAGTAGATGCAAGATCTTTCTCTCTGTCTTTCCTTCTTTCTGTATATCTGCCTTTCAATAAAAATAAGTAAAATTTTCAAAATATCTACAATAATTTATTAGATTGTATTTTGGGTGTTCCTCCAAGATCCATGTGTTAAGGGGCTTGGTTCCTAAGATGTTATACTGTGGAGGAAGAGGGAGCTTAATTCAACATGATGTTCAGAGGTAATATCACAGCTTTGTAAGAGAAGTGACAGAGCGTGCTCCTGCTGAGGGATGCTACGTGTGCCTCGGACCTTGCCAGCAGGAATGCTATCAGAAGACGTCAAACTAGTGAGACTCCCCGCCCTCCCACCATAAAGCTTTGAAACTGCAAGCTGAAATGACCCCCTTTCTTCCTGCAACACTCCTCTCAGGTATTCTGCTATACAGTAACCAGCAGGCACTGCCTGTGCGGAAACAAGCCGCACACATGACAAGGCCCATGCATGTATTTTATACTGAGGGAGTTTTAAAAAGTCCAGCAGGCTGACTATGTGGTTCAGCAAGAACATGGTTTTCTCTTGGAGTCCATCTCGGAGATGGGAAGGGAGGAGATACCTGCCTTGCGAGCCCAGGCGAGAGGCATCTGTGTCCAGGGGAGGGAAATGATCAAATGCTTAACTGCTCTTTTCCTGACTGAGACCAATGAGCCAGCCACACAGCCACAGACAGGGAAGGGAACAGTGGAAGTACATTTTGTACAGTTAATCAATGTCTCATAGCTAAACCTCTCCCATTTCCTCCCTCAGAAAGCTGCATAGAAGAATGGTGAGACACAATCATCTTCATCTGTGCTTGAGTTTCTTCCTGATGACTGTTTGGAGTTTCCCTATGAGCTGGTCTGAGGTATTTCTTCCTGTGGTTCAGAGCGAGACTTGCCCTGGGGAACTTGGGGCCTAAGCTTGGCATCTAGTGAGGCTCCACAGGAAGCGGGCAAGGACAAGCAGAGCCCCCAGAACCTTCTTCTTCAAGTCAGTGCAGAAGTTCCTAGCAGACTTCTTGCACTAAACCACCCCCCCCCCGTCTCCGCAATAGAATATCTTGTTTCTATCTACTGGTTCACTCCCAAATGCACTCAACAGCCAGGGTGGAAGTCAGAAGCTCAGAACTCAATCCAGAGCTCCCATGTGGGCGGCAGGGACCCAAGGACTTGATCTATCACCTATTACTGCAGGTGTATATCAGCAGGAAGCGGGATCGGAAGTGGAGTAGCCTGGACTTGAATTGGGCAATCTGATACGGGTGTCCCCAACAGTGCCAAATGCCCAACCCTAATGCCTTGAATTGCAACTCCCTTACCAGCTCGGCCTTTTGCTGGACCCCAAGTCTGATGTTAGCATGGCGGGGAGACCAAAGGAGCTGTGACGATGAGTCATTATTTCACTGAGACATCTGGTCATGCCACTCAGACTGCTGTGACCAAAGATCACGTTTTGTGCCCTGAGCCCGAGGTTCTGCTTAGAATCCCAGCATTCCAGATCCCAAGCCTAACTGATTCCAAATCCTTCTGTTATCTCTGGCAAGAAGCCAACCCTCATCCTGTTCTGGAAAGAATGACACCGAGGCACTCAGCAATGCAAGTAGCAGCAACAGTGCTTCGGTTTTACTCAGCACATTCAATGCAAAAGACCAGGCGAAATGCTTCATACACACTGTTCTATTTAACCTCACATCAACACCACGTGGGAGCTATATATTAATACCCTCACTTTACGCTTGAGGGGGCTGAGGTTGAGGGATGGTTAATAATGAGTCATCCTCCACCAGCTAAGAAGAGACAGAGACACCGTGGCTGCCCGGAGCTGGTTCCTGCAACCACGTCACCACGCTGCAGCCTCCCAACATGACTGGGGAGCCTTCTGTGAATGGCAGGCTCAGGCTGAACCAAAATCCCAAGAAGAAAACGCATGTGGCGATGCTGCCACTCAGCCGGCCATTGCTGCAGTCTATTCTAAGACAGGAAGTGAGGAGGGCTGTGAGACGAAGAACTTGGTGCACATTTGCTAGATAATATTCCAACAGCTCGTTCACTCATCCAGCACAGGTGGGGTGGGTGACACGCTTTGCTGTATTGAGGACAGGCAATAAGGAAACAGTAAGGCTGCCACGGTCCTGGCCCCTGCCAAGTCAGGGAGAAGGAGGAAGACATTGATTCAGTCAGTGGCAAGGAAAAATCAGAGTACCCTTGTGGAGAGCAACAGGTTGATCAGGAAAGGGGGGGACATTTCATGTAAAAGGTGACCACAGAGGGGGTAGGCCCGAGGAGGGTGCTTGGGTAACAGATGGAATTTTTGAGAACTTTTCAAGGGTGCTTTATGACTGGGGCTCTGTGAAGCAGAGCAGCCACCATGCCACAGTCTTGGGCAGTTATCACTAATGGTTTCCTGAGCCTGCTCAAAACAGCACAAGGATGCTTGCCATGAGAGCATCGTCAGGTGGCCTATGACCGGTGAGTTTTGTCTAAGACAGAACAGTCACTTCAGAATGAGGGCAGGAGGGAAGTCTGCATTCCAAAGAGTTCAGCCAAGCGTACTGCGTGTTTCTTTCATCTTCTATATGCTTTAGCGCAGATGATGAGAGGGTCCCCAGAACAAAAGGCTAAACTGGCCATCCTCATGGGGCTCCAGGGGCGACTGGCAGGTCAACGCAGAGAGCTGGGTCCGCCTTTTTCCCCATCACTTCTGCCTGGGCAGTGGTCAAAGGCAGAAGCCAAGTGAAAGCCTCAGGGCTTTTTTCTTTCTCACAAACTTTATTTGAAAGGCAAATAGGGAAAGAGAGAGAGAGAGACATACACAGAGGGAGAAGGATAGGAAAAAGTAAGGGGGGAGTGAGAAGGAGAGCGAGAGGTGAGGGAGGAGGAAGAGAGAGAGAAACACATCTTCTCCCATTTATTGGCTCACTTGTAAAATGTCCGCAACGGCCAGGGCTGGGCGAGGTCACAGCCAGGAGCCCAGAACTCAATCCAGGTGTTCTCTGTGGAGGGCAGGGACTTAACAGCTTAGGCAACACCTGCTGTCTTCAAGGATGTCCAGAACTTGAACCCAGGCATGCGAATGTGGGATGCCAGCCTATCAAAGATCCTAACCCCAGCCCGGCGTGGTAACCCAGTGCCTAAAGTTCTCACCTTGCACGTGCCAGGATCCCATATGGGTGCCAGTTCATGTTCTGGTGGCCCCACTTCCCCACAAGCTCCCTGCTTGTGGCTGAGAAAGCAGTAGAGGATGTCCCAAAGTCTTAGGACCCTGCACCCATGTGGGAGATCCAGAAGCTCCTGGCTCCTGGCTTCAGATTGGTTCAGCTCCGGCCGTTACAGCCACTTGGGGAGTGAACCATCGAACAGAAGGTCCTCCTCTGTCTTTCCTCCTTTCTGTATCTGCCTTTCCAATAAAAGTATTAATAATAATAAATCTTTTTTTTTTTAAAGAAAGTAAAAGGTCCTAACCCCTGGACCAAACAGTGACCCCAGCGGTGTCTCCATGCAGCACTGGCCAAGTCTCCCACACCCTCCTAAGCACTAAACTGCAAGGAGAGGCAAGGCATTTCCCTGGCAGCTACAACACAGCTCCTACGTGTCCTCTGGGGGAACAGTTCCAGCTAACAAGGGGTCACTTCTCTCTCAAACAGTGGGCCGACCTTCATTTGCTCAAAGCCGGCTGCCAGACCTGTCTCTTCTCTATCATGTTCTTTCCTCCAACTACTGACGACAATCTGGGGCTCTCACAGGACAAACTTAGGAAATCTGCTCCCGATTTATGCATTCTGCATAGAGGAACACATTCAATCACATGCACAGTTTGGGAAGGTTCACCCTGTGAGTCTCCCATTATGGGGACCATACAGTGTTCCAGAATCTTCCACGGCACGGGAACTTTTTTCTGTCCCAGACAGCACCTGGTAAACATACCCACCTGTTCTTTCCCAAGTGCCAAGCCAACTGATCAGGTCTGTCCCACGTGAGGCTGGCAGGGTAGGCCCCCAGACTGTCACGCCACAGGCTGATTTGGGGCTTGAGGCTGCCCTGCCCAACCTCTAGGTATCCTCATGGGCCAGCGGCCAGGCAGACCCTCTCCTCATTCTCTGAATGAAGTCACACCATGCCTAAGAAGTGACATCGGAGGGTTTTGGCCTTTCTTGCGTTTTAAGGGCCATCAAAACCACCATTCCCTAACACATGCATACAGGCAAAAAGATGAAGCTTATCTTGTTTTTCAGATATTCTGTTACCAGTCTTTGCATGTAAGCCTGTCCCCAGCATCAACCTAGATGCAACTGTAGGCTTGCTGAGTGCACTTGATAATCAGATTTTAACCAGGCACCAGAAACTATGCGTTCCTTACAGGGAAGCCACCGGCACAAACAGGATTTCCCCAAGAGGTCTTTGGGCAAAGATGCCTCCTTCTAACTTGGGCCCTGCCATCTGGGCAGCCCTGCTGCTCCTCCCCTACTGCAAACACAGTCACAGTCACGGGGGTTGGGACACTCCTTCCCATTGTTCCCAGGCCTCTCACTTCCCTTTCATCTCTGGTTGTAGCTGGAATGTATGAGTATACTGGGTAACCTTCCAAGCCTTTCCTTCAGTTTATTTACTGCACGGATACTCCTTAGCATGGCTCCATCCTTGGGCTTCCTTCACCCCAGCTGTATTTGCCTGAAGGTGTGGCTTCCTCTGTATGCTGTTTAACTGCATGGAAAAGCAGCCATAAAGGCCGTGTGCTAGTCTTACAGTCCCCCAGTGCCCAAAGACACCCCTCTTCCTGTGCCTTGTAACATTGTTCTTAAAATATCTGATCAAACATTTCCACAACTCCGTTCAGAGTTAACTTCATGGAGTCCCCAGAATTACAGCCAAGCTCCCAATAGCAACTTCCAAAGGTCCTATCATTAAAAAAAAAATTGTACCAGAAGGGTTAGCATTTACCTCCTATGCATGGCCGGATCCTGTTTACTCATGGCCACATGCTCACACGTCAAACGAGCCCCTACTTATTTGCTCAAGTAAGATACTGAGGATATTCTAAACTTTTCAAAGACTGAAAGTCTTGTCCAGTCCCTCATTGAAAGAATTCCTTATAGAGTCAGTTTCAGCAAGTTACACGTCTTTATGATGCAAACCTGTCCAATATGTAAGTATAAATAGTAGAATTACCCTAGAGAATAATTATGAGACCAGCATTGATTTAATATGTTTACACTGTCTGGGTTATTAGTAAAATAATATAAATTTTCTAACCAAGAGAGTGCTTCCTGGGAACATGATGTAAAAAAATGGTAACCACCAAAGATGACCGAATCTTGAGACTGTGACTGGGGAGAAACACAGTAAAACATGTTTAAGGAAGACAAGGACCCAAGAATACACGTGGTCTATTTGGTGCTAGAAGAACAACTAGCATGCTACAGGCGCTACCGTGTTCATTCATTCACCATGTACTGGCCCCAAGGGCCACTTTATGCCCTGCTTTATACACTATATAAATAGGCCACTATATGCCCTATTTATACACTGGTGACCAAAACAGAGGTGGTCTGGCCCCTAGTTTCATAATGATGGGACAAACAGGTTTCAAACCACTAACAAGTTTAACTGCCAACTGTGGTAAGTACTACCATGAAGAAGATGATCAAATCAGCCAAGGTACAGTGAGAGGGAATACCAGAAGGCAGTGATTGTATTCCGGGTCAGGAAGACTTCTTTGAGGAAGTACTATATTCTCTGAAAGTAGCAGGAGGCAATGGAGCAGCCAGGAGAGGAGCTGGGAGCTGGATGGGAGATTCCAAGGAGATAACTCCAGGATTCACGGCAAGCTGTCCTATGCAGAAACTGATCATACTGCTGATTTTGCACACCAAGGCCAATGCTCTTACTGTGCCAATGAGAACCACACGGGAAATTCACATCTTTGCTTTCTAGATCCTTACTGAATGCTAACAATGTGCCAGACAGACAAACAAAGCAAACAAAGCAAAGGTACCTACTCCTATGAGGTTAACTTCCAGGACAAGTAATTAAAAAAAGAATTAGTACCTAACACTCAGCTAACTATTCCAGATTTGGCCACAGACCTTGGGACACACGCAACAAAACTGAGACCCCTTTCTGTGACAATAACGATGCCATTAGGAATTTGGGTGGGAGCTATTGCCTGTGTGGAGATAATTCTGTATGGGTCCCTTGTGGTTCCAGATGTTGGTAATACAGGTCCTAACTGCATTTTTCCCAGCTTGAATTTTCAAGTGGACAGCCTCTGAAGAGGAGATGGTCTCTGGAGCATACTGGGTCTGCTTCCTCTGCAACCTAGTAATGGCTCTTGTTGGGGCTAAGGCCAGGCCCACATACTGTCTATTAACGAAGATTTGGGTTCCCTGAGATGGTGTTTTTTTTTTTTTTTCTGTAATAAAATACACTGTGTGCAGCTATCACCTGACCTTCTTCTCAATTTGCTGTAAGAATCAGGGAGCGGATGCAAATACTGATGTTGCTCTTGCTACTGCTATTGCTGTAATACGATGTCCTTTGTCTTCTGTTTTCTGTTAGTATCCAGGAAACTGTGGCAAACTAGTTGTTGAACTTGCAAATAGAGGAATGTCAAAACCTTCCAAGTTCTTTACGTATGTCAACCACCAAAACACTTTTCAGTTAAGATTAAGACCCAGAGGTGGGCGAATAAGGTGAAGTCTATAAAACCAACAGGAGTAGACGTAGCGGTGTTTATCAATCTTGAACATCAAACCCAGCGGTCAATCTCTAACATTTGAGAGAGGATTATAGGATTAGGATCATAGAAGGGCAGGTGCTCACAGAGCAGGCACTAACCTTACAGAACTTGTCATCTCAATACATGCTGCTGGCTGTAAACGCACATTCCTAAACGGCCCTGTTAATCACAGAACAGACCCCAGAAGACTCGGTGACTCAGTCTTAGCCAAGTCACTGATCATGTCATTTTACAATGGCCACAGAAGGACTCTCAGGAAAAGTACCTAAGAAGGGCTACTTTAAGTCTACAAGATGAGAAGAAGATGGCTCAGTCCGAACCTGTTGTTCGTCCTATGGATATCTATCTATGGGATCTTTAGTTACACAATCTCTTTGACGTCAACATACGATTCACAACAGTCTTAAATTAATAAATAATCTTGATAAAATATGCTCCTATTTTAGGACAGCTGTTTTCCTAACTGGATATCCAGGAAATTTTGAGGCAGATTTTGTTTATAATGTTCCAAAGTCAAATACGTTTGGGGAGCAATGTGTGACCTATCTTTCGAAACTGTAATTTTGCGTTAATAATAGAGGCTCTGGTGAGTTCTTGTAAGGAAATCTTTGTTTAAATCAGTTTTTCTTAAGTTGTTTTGACCAGATCACTTCACAAAGTGCTTATCATCATTTCACTAAACACTATGAGATAGCAGATAGAGAAATGTTCTTTGAAGTGTTAAAAAAAAAAAGCCTGCAGATTTTGGGGCTGGCATCCCACATAGGTGTTGATTTGCGTCTTGGCTGTTCCACTTTCGATCCAGCTTCAGAGGGCTTGGGCCCCTGCACCTGTGTGGGAGATGAGGAAGCTCCCGGTACGACTTTGGACTAGCCCAGCTCCAGCTGTTACGATCATGTGGAGAGTGAACCAGCTGGAAGAGCTCTCTCTAACTCTCCTTTGTGTAACTCTGCCGCTCAAGCAAAATCTTAAAAATGCAGATTTTACTGAGTATATTGGTTTCCAATTGTATCCATTTAGTTATAAAAGACAAGATTTCTTTTTTTTTTTTATGACTGAGTAGTATTCTACAGTGTACATATAACACATTTTCTTTATCTAATTATCTATTGATTGGATATCTGGGTTGATTCCTATTTTGAATTGAACTGCTATAAACATCACGTTACAAATTAGCTCTTTCACACGCTGGATTATGGACAACTCTCTTACACGTGAAAACTAATACACAGAGCACAAAAAAATGTAACCTGTAGGTGTGAGAGTGATATTCTGGGATTTGATTATGAAATGAAAGCATGCAGTTATAAAACTAAGAAGCAAAAGGAGGAGGGGTAAGGAATGCGGGCAGGAAGGTTCCTAAATCTATATTGTGACATATATGAAATTTGTCTATTTTAGGTAAGTAAAAAATGCAGATTTATGCAGTGAGAAGATATTGCTTTCATGTCAGAATTATCTGTCATACCTTCACTATGTAAAGAACAGGCGGAGTTGGCCTGGAGGGTATAAGAGGCTGGTAGGTGACTGGATGTTGGGTTCTCTGACATGGGACGGCTAGGCACCTGCATTTGGGGGGATTCTTGGGCTCAATTGTTTCTTGGGTCCAAGGAGTCATAAAACCCTATTTTCAGGCATATCTTTCAGGAAAGATAACATGAGTAATTACAGCTTACACTGACTGCTTTTAACCTATGTGCAAGGTGCTGCTGAACAGTGGACACTCAGTTCTCATAGTCATCCAGCCCAGAGGCAACATTAACAACAGTGAAGGTACAGCAAAGTCAAGGAACTGCTAATGCTACACAGCTAGAGAGCACAACAGCTGGAATTTCAACCTAGGCAATCTGTTTCCGGTGGGTCAACCCACGTGCCCAACTAACCTTCAGAACAGAGCATCTCAGAGCGGACTTCCTCACTTCCATTGTGGTTCCGATTACCAAGAAACCTCCTGTGCCTTCTAGCTGAGCTGACTCCTTGTGTAAGTAGCCCAGCAATCATAAAGTAACACCCAGACCTTGTACTCACACTTCCTGAAAGCCTTGTCTAGCATTTTACAGTTGTGCCAGAAGAAATAAAATACAAATAGGACAGCGTGTACCTGTTGCCAAAACATTCTCCCCTTTGCATGATTTCTTCCTCTCACCTATCTGATGCTACAATACAGTACTGACTTCAAGTACAGGAATGACTAGCTGACACCACCACACTCACCCTCTTAATTATGGCTCCATGCAAGCAGGCTTTGTTAAAATGCTTCACCTCTAAAATATCTTTTTCTTATCAAAAAAGCTATCCATACCCATACATGCTGTGCTTCCCTCCCGACTTGCACTGCTTTGGGATATTCCTGATTGTGTGCTGTGTGTTGCCTCTTAGGGAGTCCTTTGGCTTCCTGAGTGTGCAACTCTGAATTGTGTGGTTTTGTTGTTGTTGCTGTAGCCATTATGTTACATGTTGGTACATTCATTTTCTTTTCCTGTTGTAACCAGTTGCCATGCATCTGATGGCTCAAACAACACTGCCGAGTCATCTCATGGCCTGCAGGTGAGAAGTCAGGGTCCTGCATTCAACGGGCCGACAGGAGAGCCACATTGCAGCCTGGAGACCAAGCCACCTCCTCCCTCATCCAGGGAATTGAGCTAGAAGTGATCCCAAGACTGGGGTCTCTGTTAACTGGGGCCTTGCCTGCCCAAGGGTGGTTCCCAGAGTGAGTCACATCTCCAGGATGGACTCACTCGTACACCCAGTGACTTTCCCTTCTGTCACATCCTTTTTGCTTCCAGCCTGAGAAAAGGTTTTTGTACTAATATGGCTCTTTTGACTGGATTCAGTCTACTCAGATAATCCAGAATATTCTATTTTAAAGTTCATAATCTTAGTTATATTATAGCTGTGGCGATAACATTCAATTTATCTCAAAACAACACACACAGAAAGTCACACAAAGCATCTGCCGCCTCCCCAAACCAACAACACGAGCCATGTCTCAGAACCAGACACTAAAGTGCATGTTTTGTATATTCCCCAAAGCCTTTAAGGAGCAGATAACAGGATAGGGATCAGAGAGAACTGCACCAGACCAGCAGCTGCTTCACGTGGTAGCTGCAAGAAGTTGCCACCAGCAGCGCAGGGCGGCATCACAGCCAAGGACTCCCAAGGAGTACATCACAGAGCCTCGGCTAACACAACCACCTTTCATCATTTGTTTTTATTTCACCTGAAAGGCAGAGGAAGAGAAACAGAGACCTTCCATCTGCTGGTCCCTCCCTGCAGCACCTGCTGGACCAGGTCACTCCTGTGGGTGGCACCTGCTGTCTCCATGGATGCAGGTCAACAGGTAGCTGGGTTTGAGGTGCAGGGGCTGGGACTTGAGTTGGGCCCTCTTACGTGCTATGTGGACATTCTAGGCAGCAACTTAACTGCTGGGCCACAATGCCAGTGGAAGAACATGGGCAGGCCATCTGGTAAGCAATGAGTTGCTGTATCATGAGGAAGCCCTGGATCTCAGGAGAGAGTCAAGGGCTCTCGGAAGCTTGGTGTACTCTGGGCAATGGTCCTTGACCAACAGGTCTGCAAATGTGTGAACATTTGGGTAAGAGATGGACACAGCAATGTGAATGACACTCATGCAGCAGTAGCTTAACACTGGGCATCCTCTCTTCCTAGCAGGAGTACTGTGCCAGGAACTCTCCTATTATAGGCCCTTGGCTGCTAAGCAGTTCCACTCATGCTGGACCATTTCAATAACTTTTCATAGACATTCAATTTCCCAGAGAATGGGAAAAACAAAACTATTCAGGAAGGAACACACCTTGCACCTTAACCCCACGTGCCTTTTGGCATCACTTCCTGTTTTCCAAATGTTAACACATTTCGCCCTAAGCTGCCTGCCTTCCAAGCGGATGGAGATTTGCAAGCTCCATTTGATGTCTTTACAATTCTTTCTTATCTCGTGTTTGTTTCCCTCTTCATTTCATCTTGAGGGTTTTTTTTTTCCACTTTGCCTTACTCTTTCCTTCTCCCTTCTGGGTCATCAGAGACTTTCTACTCATAGGTGGGCTAAAATGAAACATAATTTTAGTCGTATTTAATTAGATTTTAAAGTCTGATGGTACCTTCTTGCCTGGGGCCTCTTAAGGGGAATTTTTGAAGTCCAATTATAGGCCTATTCTCATAATAAGCACTAATAATTCATAATGAAATTATCTGCTTTAAAGCCTCATCTAGCTGCTGCTGTGGAAAGTATACTAACCTGACCACATTCCTAGGGGGTCATTACTATGGCCAGCACCGACAGGCGAGGTCTGCTGATGTCACAGCCAGCCCGGGACGAGCGGGGTGGTGGGTGTGTTTCCCCGTCCTGCACTGCAGGGTGCTTCATTCTCGAAGGGCTCCTTTCCATACACCTTCACCTTGACTCGAGGTGCCCATCTCTGGCATTCAACTTACCAACATTCACTGAACTATTCAAAACTCTCCATTCAACACAACCCAGCTGAGTAGCAAGTAGCAAGTCCGTAAAAACTCTTTCCCTACAAGGCTGTGGCATTTTCTCTAGTTGCACCTGGCTTTCGGTGAACAGTATGA